AGGCCCGCGAGTCTCTGGGACGTGTTCCGCGACAACAGCAGCGAGCTGCACTCCCTGACCAAGGAGCTGCACAACGTGCTGGACCTGGACGGCGACCCCGAGCTCTTCCAGCGCTTCCTGAGCGCCGACTTCCCCTTCACCGTGGCCGAGGCACAGAACCTGCTGCGCTGCACCGTCAACCTGGACCATTCCATCCGCCGCCGCATGGGCCTCCTCCTGGCGGTCAAAGCGCTCAAACCGCCCAGCCCGCCCAAGTCCCCAGCCGGCGACGCCCCCCACGCTGCTAATGGAGCCAACCACACCCCTTCGGCGGCCTCCACCGCCCACGGAGCCAGCCACGGAGCCAGCCACGACTCCCGGGCTGCCCGCGCTGTCACCAGAGCCAACCAGGCCCGCGAGGTCCCCCACCCCCGAGACATGAAGCAAAGGCATAAGCCCAGACCCGTGGCTTGAGTGTCCTGCGCTCAGGGAATCCAGCTTTCATTCAGGGGCGGTGCCTTGAATGAAGGACTCTGGGGCAGCAAGGGCAACAGTGCCCCCTCTGCCCAGGTGAGGACACATGCAGGGACCCAGAGCCCAGTGTTGGGAATGAGGCCTGTGGTGGCCACATTCCCCGCGTAAATCTGAGCGTAGCTGACGACAGTGCCAGGATCCCAAAGCTGCAGGACGACCACTGAAGACTCAGTTCAAGTGCAATAAATTAAGGCGTGAGAGCCTTTGGTTGGTCTTGAGGCCCTGGTCTCCCTCCCTCAGCCCATTTCCCCCAGGGAGCAGCAGTGTCAGCCCCTGGCTGGCGACCCGAGGGCAGGAGGGGCTGCGGGGGTGGTGGGCGAGGCCCAAGCAGGGAGACGAAGGGCAGATGTGCCACGTTGACTCTATAGGCCTTGGGGGATCCAGGTCCTAGTCCCCGTACCCAAGCCTGCGCTCTGCAGGCAGGGCAGGAGCTGGCATTTCTTCCGGCAGTTTGGCTCCGCCCCCAGCATGAGTTGATTAGGTAGCGCTGGCAGCTCAGCCAGCTGGGTGGGCAACACTGCCTTCCCGGACAAGTAACTGTCCAGAGGCTGCCTTAGGGTCATCTCAGGGCCCCTTGAACCCCTTGAGGAGGTCAGGGAAGATGAGCAAAGCTGGGGGCATGTGTAGGACACAGTCGGAGCCGGAGCTGGGTCTGGCACACCTTCCCCTCCTGCCAGTGGGAGACCCAGGAGGGGCGTCACTCCCCAGGGCAGATTCCTGTTCCTCATTGGTCACATAGCCACACGCTCAGCCTGTGGTGTGCCCGCCCGGTCCAGGGTGTGACTGAGCCAGGACCCTGAGCAGACAGTGCCAGGAGCCCAGAGCTCTCAGAGCACCCACCCGCATGCCACGCAGCCTCGTGCGGGTAGACATCATTCCTTATCTCCAAGGCTGGGTACAGCACCCCAGTGCCCCTGGCCAATGATGGTGCTAAGGTGGACATAGGGCAGAGCCAGCGGTGACTTCACAGGCGATGCCAGGACTGAGGTGCCTGGAGAAGCTGGACCTGCTGGGAGAGGGTTTCCAGCAGCAGGAGAGCCGGCCTGAGAAGGAAGCCCCTTGGAGAGAAACACGGTCCCTGTGACACCATTAGATCAGTGTCACTGTGACTTGATATTGGGCAGAGCCACTACATGTCCCTTCCCTTTCTTAAAAGAATTTTTTTAAATTGATTTTAGAGGGAGGGAGAGGGAGGAGAGAGAAACATCAGTTGGGTACCTTCTGCACCAGCCAGCAACCCGGGCGTGTGCCTTGACCAGGAATTGAACTGGTGACCTCTCAGTGCCTGGGACGAAGCCCAACCACTGGCCAGGGCATACGTCCCCTCCATCTCCCTTAAGCCAGTATGATGGGGCTCCTATTTCTCTCCACCTAGGGTCCTGGCAGGAAACAGATTGGGATCAGGAGTGGGGCGCTGCAGGAGGCGGGACCAGCCTTGGCTGGCGGTTGGGAGTGGGACTGAGGACCCCCGGCCCCGGGAAGCAGCTGCGGACCTGTTGTGTGGTTCCGAGCCGCGGTCAAACTGGTACCCGTTCATCTTAGACTCTGACCACGTGCCTGCCAAAGCTAGAGTTTTGGGAGACGACGAAAAAACTGCACTTGGCCGAAATGGGATGGCTGGGTGTGCCTGAGCTGGCTCGCTGTCCACCAGGATCTCGCTCCCCTTTAAGGTGTGGAGCTTTTGCTGCAACTTGCACCCAGGCGAGGCCAGGGGGCTAGTTCCCACAGACCACGGGGAGTGGTGATGTGTGTCCCTTTCCTGCTGTGGCAACAGGATAGGCGGCAGGTTTGCCGTCATTCCTCCTCCCCCCACCCCACCTGCCTGTTGGATGCAGGAACCCTGAGGCCCCAGCCGGTAGCAGAGCCACAAGACAGAGGGGGCCTGGGCCCACAGCTTTGTGAAGAGCTGCCTCCACCCTGAACACCCGTGTGTGTGAAGACGAACACCTGGGTTAGGGCATGGATACCTTTGAGATTGGATAGTGTCTGGCCAAGCATAAGACTCCTGTGTCCTCGAGCTATGGCGATGCCTGGGTGGCTGAAGGTAAAGGGAACCGCCCCGTGATCCAGGACCCCCAGAAGGAAGGTCAGGAGCCCTGAGGAGTTGGCTTGCTAGTCTCCTGGGGCTTGTGTCACAAAGTCCCACCAACTGGGTGGCTCAGAACAACAGAAACTCATTCTCTCACAGTTGAGGCCTGAAGTGCGAAATCAAGGGGTCAGCAGAGCCAGCACAGGGGGACCCTTCCTGGCCCCTTCCAGCTTCGAGCACTTGGTGGGGGATGAGGTCCCCTGGCTTGGCCGCCAGCCCTCCACCGTCACATCCTCTGCCTGCCGTGCACATCTGTGTCCCACGCTCCCCTTTCCGTAAGGACGCCAGGCATTCTGGGTCAGGGCCTTACCCATGGCCCCATTTTCACTTGGTCCCCTCTGTGCAGACCAGATGTCCCCAAAGGTCCCATTCTGAGGCCCTGAGGGTTAGGACTTGACGTTTTTGTGTGGAGGGAGGTTGGGACACATTTCAACACTGAATGGTTGGAAAGACCGAATCCCTCACTCTGAGCTCAATTTAGTGAAAGAGCAGGGTCAAGGCTGTGGGGCGCCCCTCAAAGGCATCACACGAGACAGGTACGCTGAGGCCCCCCACCCCCCACTGGAGCCCAGCTGTTGGTCACCAGCCTGGAGGTGGAGACAGAGGTCACCACGCTAAGGGCTGAACGCTCCCATGGGAGTTGATTCCTGAGCAACAGCTAGAACTGACCACAGGTCAACTGAGATTGGGGGGGCGGGGGGCTGCTCTGACAGACCCAACCTGGCAAAGGACGGTGGCTCCTCAGCCTCTGAGGCTAACCTCACACTCCCCAGTCTCACCAAGGGGGCCGAAGCCAGGAGGACAGCCTGGAGGGTTCGTCCCACCTCCACCGCACACCCAGCACGGGGGCCTCAGCTGGAGGCCGATGCTGCCCACAGCTCAGAACCAGGGCCCGTGCAGGTCTATCTCCCCAGCTGCCCGTGGGGTGAGGGGGGCAGATGCTAGGGGCCGGTGGCCTATGTACATGGTGCACACACAGCTGCCAATGACCGAAAAGTTAACGGACAGTGGCCACTGGGAACAGATTCCTGGGCCTGTGCAGGAGCCGAGGGTACCAGGGCTCCCAGTCGGTGACACTGGGGTTCTTGTGGTCTTCCCTCCGCCCCTACCCACCCGAGTCAGCGTCCCACGTGGGAGAAAAGGGGCAGGTGCAACGGTCTCCCCTCGAATGCTGCTCTCGTTTTCTGAAGGTGAAGCT